GCCTGTTGACCAAGTTGCAGCCACGTGCGCACGTTGAAGCATGCGCGACTTAGCATGGATCGTTGAATCCAGCAGGAAAGGGATGAATTGACGTTGTCTGATTGGTTGAACATAGATTTGTTGACTAGACTGGAGCAACGCACGGCGCTTGTGTATGAGTTTAAACCAGAAGCCAAGCGACTATTGAAACAATATGATGGTGGATTGCAACCAGGGGATAGAACGGCAGTTGGAACAGAACGATAAGGAGGAAAATGCGCAGGGGCAAAATGAAGACGGAAATCATAAAGCAGTAGTATCCAAACCCTATCCACTATGCTTGATGCAGCAGGTATGGCGTCGCGTACTATTCATTGCAACGGCCAGAGCTTAAGGTGATTGTTTGGAGAAAGCCACGGCACGTTGTATTGCGAAAACAGGAGGTTGTCAGGGTGTCCAGCCCTAAAGAGGAGAACAATTAGGGGTGCAAACCAATGCTTTCAAATCAAAAACTTGATCGCAAGGCTGCGGATTTGGCAGGGGACTACAGTGTGTCCGCTATAAAGCGTAAGGAAACAACCTTACTCCAAACTCTAACCTGGAAGGTCAGGAGACTTTGTCTGGCCTCTAGTCCTTGACCAATCTTATATGAATGGCTCTGGAGGTACGAGTAGCACTACAAAGCAAAGCTAAATGAATCACCATGGTTAGGTGTTCAGTCCACTCAGTTAGCCTGTGCCTCACACCGTCGAGGAATAAAACGGGTATTTATTTATTCATCCAAAGATGACTGTTGCCAAAACCGAATTATAACAGATATTTCTGTAATCACTAGGATAGCGGGCTAAAAGTGCTTGGCAATTCAAGCATGTAATTGTTGAAAGTTATGCCTGGCTTCCTGCTACAAACAACGGCAACTCAAAGCCACCTCCGCTGAACACGACCTCACTGTTGCTACATATATAAATCCTAATAAAGTCTGTTTCGATTCCGCAGTTTTATTATTTTTCTTTTGTAGATTATTGAGAACTCACTGCACTTTGTCGCAACTTTGCGCCTGGAGTATCTCATCTGTACAGCCAACCTGTGAGTAGTAGTAGTAGTAGTAGTAGCAGTAGTAGAAGTAGTTCACTACGAAAAGACAAAAATGCAGTGCTGGATTGTGTTTGGTATATAAACGACACCGGGTACACCAATTGCCAATTGGCCTTCTGTGGCGCTATGCGAAGGCTTGCTCGCAAACCTTAGCACCGTAGTGGTCAATACGTCAACTTTTGAACACTAGGCCACGAGATCCACCCGCAGCTCAGCCTACCTCCATCGGTTGCGTACAAAGGAGGACGAAACCGGTTATGGGGTGTCAGGTTTATGAGGAGCAACACCGAACCACCAATTCGAATACGGTGCTTGTGATCGTAATGGCCGAGGTCTACTTCAAAGAGGACCACAGTCTGAATAGAGATTGCGATTGGCAATCCAACCACACAGCGGGTACACCATATGCCAGTTAAAACTACTTATCCCTCTGCCAAGTAACAGTACCAAATTTAATATATCTAGCTTCTGTTACTTTACAAAGAACCTAGGATAACAATAATGCAATGATAAGCGTGCAAGCTTTATCCATACTAATAAGTGTTAGTTAAAATGCGATGAATAATTCGACATTGAGGGATAACGGCTATTCGTTGCTGCCATAAGTAGTAACATTTGTACTCGATACTTGCAAATAATTAGAGAGACTAGTTAGCCTTGCAACTAAAATCCATGATGCATCCAAGTATAATGTGTTTGTTAAAGATTACACCCGAAGCAAAACCTGGAGAGGTTCAGCTAGTTCCTCTAACGCACATATGTGACATATATAGGTGCATATGTGACGTAGACAAACTCTTTCGAAAATTAGAGAAACATATTTAGGCGTTAGAGGAACTAGCTGAACCTCTCCAGGTTTTGCTTCGGGTGTAATCTTTAACAAACACATTATACTTGGATGCATCATGGATTTTAGTTGCAAGGCTAACTAGTCTCTCTAATTATTTGCAAGTATCGAGAACAAATGTTACTACTTATGGCAGCAACGAATAGCCGTTATCCCTCAATGTCGAATTATTCATCGCATTTTAACTAACACTTATTAGTATGGATAAAGCTTGCACGCTTATCATTGCATTATTGTTATCCTAGGTTCTTTGTAAAGTAACAGAAGCTAGATATATTAAATTTGGTACTGTTACTTGGCAGATGGATAAGTAGTTTTAACTGGCATATGGTGTACCCGCTGTGTGGTTGGATTGCCAATCGCAATCTCTATTCAGACTGTGGTCCTCTTTGAAGTAGACCTCGGCCATTACGATCACAAGCACCGTATTCGAATTGGTGGTTCGGTGTTGCTCCTCATAAACCTGACACCCCATAACCGGTTTCGTCCTCCTTTGTACGCAACCGATGGAGGTAGGCTGAGCTGCGGGTGGATCTCGTGGCCTAGTGTTCAAAAGTTGACGTATTGACCACTACGGTGCTAAGGTTTGCGAGCAAGCCTTCGCATAGCGCCACAGAAGGCCAATTGGCAATTGGTGTACCCGGTGTCGTTTATATACCAAACACAATCCAGCACTGCATTTTTGTCTTTTCGTAGTGAACTACTTCTACTACTGCTACTACTACTACTACTACTACTACTCACAGGTTGGCTGTACAGATGAGATACTCCAGGCGCAAAGTTGCGACAAAGTGCAGTGAGTTCTCAATAATCTACAAAAGAAAAATAATAAAACTGCGGAATCGAAACAGACTTTATTAGGATTTATATATGTAGCAACAGTGAGGTCGTGTTCAGCGGAGGTGGCTTTGAGTTGCCGTTGTTTGTAGCAGGAAGCCAGGCATAACTTTCAACAATTACATGCTTGAATTGCCAAGCACTTTTAGCCCGCTATCCTAGTGATTACAGAAATATCTGTTATAATTCGGTTTTGGCAACAGTCATCTTTGGATGAATAAATAAATACCCGTTTTATTCCTCGACGGTGTGAGGCACAGGCTAACTGAGTGGACTGAACACCTAACCATGGTGATTCATTTAGCTTTGCTTTGTAGTGCTACTCGTACCTCCAGAGCCATTCATATAAGATTGGTCAAGGACTAGAGGCCAGACAAAGTCTCCTGACCTTCCAGGTTAGAGTTTGGAGTAAGGTTGTTTCCTTACGCTTTATAGCGGACACACTGTAGTCCCCTGCCAAATCCGCAGCCTTGCGATCAAGTTTTTGATTTGAAAGCATTGGTTTGCACCCCTAATTGTTCTCCTCCTTAGGGCTGGACACCCTGACAACCTCCTGTTTGCGTACAGTAGATTTTCGTTCTAAGCAACACTTGAATCTCGTGGACACCAGCCTTGTGGGGACGAATAGATCAACAATATCTAGTTCAGTCGGAAGTTACTTCAGTTGTTGATATCAAATAGGCACGTGTCATCCTCGAGACTTGCGCCTGCAAATCTCTGATAAACGGAGCATTGCCTTTCCTGGTGAGCGGTGAATGGGCCCACGGAACACGTTCCCAAGCCACCGTAACTAATAGCAAAATACTGGTTGTTCCATAAAAGAAACCGTGCATTCCTCTCTAGTACTTTCATGCGCATGCGACTGTCGCAAACATACTCATACGATATCGCAACAAAGCCCTCACCGAAAACGATGCTGAAATAATTGATGTTTTAAATTTCCAAACCGAAGAGGTGAATTCTCGCTACTGTTAAGTTAAGATTCGCTATATAGTAACATTGTGCACACGTACTTTCAGACCAAACAAGTACTTTTTGTCACCCCAAAGTAGCTCACACTGCTAATATCACATTCGTAACCCCATACCAGTTACCGTTAACTTGGCTGCCAAAACAGTTAAATTGTTCATCAGCTTTTAGGTTTGCCTATTCCAAAGCAAAGTGGTCCTTAAGTGACCATGAGAGTGATACGTGCAAAACAAATGGTGGGATGGTACCATTTAATATACCCATATTGAGTGCGCCAAGATGTCGCCGTCAAAATGCAAAACGTATAGTCCGCATAATTGTGATTAGTTAATTTTCCAATAAGTAGCATTTTAATGCCTATACCTCAAGAGTACACGTAGAAATACTTTGTTGGATTATGATTAATAAAAACCAAACCTAAGAAAAAAGACAACCGCTTCATAAGCCACTTGCTGAAGGAAAGGCGTCCGCTGAACCACCGTAGAACGCAGCGCAATGTGCGAAGTTCGTTTGATTGCACGTAGGAGATTCACGTAATAAAAGATAACATCTGTTAGAGAAAAACTGTCAGTAAGCCTAGGGTTATTGCTCTAGCCGAAAGGAACTTTGAAACGAAACAACACCTCTATCTTAGAAAAATGAGACGTGCGACGTCTTCTTAGCAAATTACAGAGTGGTATACATGAGTTCAACCTCGACTCCCACTATGCAGTTAATTAGCCAGACAAGAACTTCAGCCAATAGCGTCCTTATCTTCGGGACCCTGCATAGAGTTCTGTGGTTATTATGGTCGGTAGCGCTAAGCTTATTATATGTCGTTAGTTCCATAAATTCACTCGTATTGGTTAGAATGGCTTTTATCTTCTATGCTTACTCAAAACAAAGGTTAAGTGCTTTGCAGAAGTCATGGTTTCTAACAAAAAGCATCAGGGGCACGATATCTAACCAAAAATTTAAAAACGGTTGTAGCTCCTAGTGGCGTCTTGAAGCTCAGCTTCCGACTGCGTTTGTGGACTAGGCAGCAGCAATAGTAGGATGGACTGCAAGCGTCTTGTAAAGTAACGTGCCGCGGTTCAGCCTAATTTATATGAATAAGAAGAACCTGAGGAGCGCTATACTGCTTGTCCCAATCACAGCGTATTATCAGAAAACTAAATCTGGCATAAACCCTAGGACAATTTTTAATATAACAGAGATATCTGGAGTCAAACGACACAACAGCAAAGAACAGTCATCGTGGTTTATTGAGTGGATTGAAAGTATAATAATATAGCTACAGGAATCTTACGTTCTCCGTCGAATATGCTCCAGGACCAGGCTTCTGTGTGCTGTCTTGTGGAGCCTGGTTTCTAGCCACAATAGAGTAGTTTGGAGAGGCTTCTTTATAGACATTCAGTTTAGGAATTTTGTAGGCTCCAGCGCCTGGAGTCTAATGAATGAAAAAATAATTTAATTGACTGTACCTCATGGATCCGATGCTCTGTCGGTCTACTCGCTATGGAATAACCTGGAGCTGAAGGTTTCTGGCTGCGAACTGTTTTCCCGAGCATAGGATCAACCTTGTACTGGTTAGGTCCTGTGCGAATAGCGTTGTATGTTTACAGCAACATAAACTATTTAATTACCAGGATAATCATCCGCACGATCCTGTCGGTGTCGTAAGCCAAGTGAATACGCCGGATGTCGTTGATAAACGGTCTGGTCTCCAAGCTCTGGTTTATAAGCTCCCGGTCCAGGTGAAAAGGCTTTCTCAGCTTCTCTATGCCTGCTCGCAAGCGAGAAATGTGGAGGGTTATACTTTCCAGTATGCAATATTTTTGAATCCGGATAATAACACGGGCCAGGTCCGCATGCCTCTGTAAAACATCCATGCCTGACCCCAAAGCTGTATTGCGGTGCACGAACATGAGTGGAACGTCCGTCATGATTACTGTAACCAACCAAACCAGGAACTTGGTAACAGGGTCCTGGACCACTGTACATAGCAGCCACAGGAGCCCTGGGTATTGTGTAGTTGTATACCATTAGGCAATTGGAGTACGACTGTAATATTCCTCCGGTCCGGCGTTCTGATCTCTTCCGTGTCCAAGTAGTGTGACAAGCTGCAATGCAAAATAAATACCTCATAGACGGCTGTACGCTCGAGCCGCCTAGTAAGAGGCCGATGTAAAGGAAGCAGCTAAGGAAGCAAGGAAGAGTGCCGGAGAGGAATATGACAGTAATGGTAACAGGAAGCAAAACCGACCGACCTCTTACCTGTTAACGTGTTACCGTGATGCCCACAGACCGGCTACACGACGACGACTGCTAACGTAGCTCGTAATGGTAACGCGTATACGTTCATTTAAACTATCCATCAGATGATTAAAACATTCAAATATTTGCTGTTTATTGGAGCGTCACTCTATATTATGTACAACTGTTTTTAACGGCGTATAAATAGTCTTACACCGAAATTGTAGTTGTTTGATCAAGCGTAAGAAGGACCAAAGATGCAGGTCAGGTCAAACGGACGATAGAGGCTTCCGCCTAACTAGCGTCCAGTTCTTGTGCCAGTAAGTGAAGCGGCTCCGGCACTTAGACCTTGGATTTTCTCTTCTTGCTTCTGCAATAGAATGAAGCAAGCGCAAGAGCGATCTTCGCTCTTTCATATGCCAGCATCAAAATACACTACATATTTCAATACAACTACAAAACCTCTGGAAAAACGATAGAACAACAACCGTCTAAACCCCTTTTGAGGGCTTCTACGGTGTCAAACTCCACTAAAGCAAAAGGAAGTTTATTCCAGAAGTTAACTACTCGGTTCGTAAAAATCTTTGCCCTGGGGTCCAAACGAGCTCCATGATGTTTGAGCTTCAGGCGATGTCCGCGCAGATGGTCTGACATAATCAACTCCAACAGATGGGTGGAACTAATACTAGTAAATCCCTTAATGATCTTAAATCTCTCCATCAAATCCTCTCTCAACCTACGCCGTTCCAAGGAAAATAATCCAAAGCTACTTAGACGAGCTTCCTAAGACTTCTCTCGTTGACCTTCAATCATCCTGGTCGCAAGTTTCTGAATCTTTACTATACAAATGATGTCACTCCGGAGGTACGGTGCCCAGGCCTGAACACAATATTCCAGATGTGGACTAACCACTGCTTTATATAATGGCAAGAATACTTCTGATTTAGTGTAACTCAGCGCCTCCTAAGACGAAATAACGCTTGTCGCTATAGGTAAATATCTTAAAAGTGCTTTGCACTTTCAGTTGGATCCCTGTAAAGCCACTAGGCTCTAAAGCAAAAGACCACAATGCACATCAACTAATAGAAACCGTGTATCCAAAGAATGGTTTGGTGAAGGAAACATACCTCGGTGTTGATCGTCAGCATTCGAAACACATGTAGGCACTGCACGCGCGCCGTTGCGCGAGTCACGTGTGCGTCCGCAAAGCCGCACATATACTTTGCCACCCTGCTCCTTAACTGAACACGACACCTGAATTAGTGGTAGGGGACTACGCTTCTTTGACACCCTTCCGGTCCGTTGACACCGCCTTAGGTTTCAATGACGAGTACAACCGCATGACGTTAAGTTTTTTGCCATTTACAGGGGGTAAGTTTTTGACCTTAACATACTACAAAACTCACAGGGCATTCCGTCTGGTAACCGAATAAAGGTCCAAAGGCGCAGCCGTAAGTCCAACTTCCTCCAGTTGGACTGATATCGTCGGCGAGGTTCAAGTTGGTGGGGCTGGTATTTTTCGGGAGCCGATACTGCTGGGTTCAAGTTCGTTCTTTATGTTCTGACAAAAGTAAGCCCCCTAATGTCCTATCAGTAGCACGGTGCTGCACAGTTCTGTGTATAAACAGAGTCCTGATCAATGCACCTTCCCACTGCATACCGACCAAAATAGCAATCTGTATACCCGCCCTTCTCGAGTGGTTTGTGCGTTCAGGCAAACGTTAGGAAGCTGGGTTGTACTGAACAGTTTATCCGTGTTTGGTATCACGAAACTGTAAGCATTGGCGGACGCGTAATTTGTAAACTGTGTTACGTTATCACCCATATATCCTCTGGGAAGGCAAATCCAGCAAAACAAATGTTTCAGACATCGTATAAATGCTGCTGTTTTCAAGTCAACACAAAGGTGACCGTCGAGCCGTTTACTGTGTAAGAATGTGGCAACCAAACAATTCCTTTGACGTTGTGTTGCAGGATGGAATGATTGCGTGGTGTCGATCACCGGTTCGAACCAGGATTTCATTGGGTAAAAGCACGGCTTAACAGGTCCATCCATCGGTGGCGTGAGCTTCTCGGCTTGCAAACACATCGTACACAAACTAATACATGCTTTCAGCATGTTTGACATATTCGGCCACCGAACATTGCGCTGTTACCGGCTTTCCGCCCTTGCGATGCCAAGGCAACCGACAGGACCTCACCTTTTCAGTATCGCTCGGACGTCGGGACCAAGGACGTAGCAGCTGGCAGACGGCAAAATCTTGGCGCCTAACATTTGTACACATAAAAGCATTTGTTTGAGGAACCAGCGGCCCGAAACCAGGTCAATAAAACATACTTCGATTCAGCTAAATTGGGCAGCGTGCCTGGTTTGCTGACCAAGTTTTTCATGGTGCGAGATTGGTGGCTCCGGCTCACCCCTTTTCAACCACTAGTCTAGCGGTGGTGTTGATGGTTTTGTTCCGGCAGACTTTCTACCTATAAGTAACACAGCGGTTTGTTCATAAACAGGGAAGCGGTGCTGTTTTGCCTCTCTATGAAACTACCCAATGCCTCTTGACAACCCGGATACTCCTATGCAACCTACGGACAGCAAACGTCTCTTTCCACATTAGCAAAGCTAGCAAAATTCCTGCATGAAGCGGTAACATTACAGGTGCACGTTACTCAGCTACAGACATACACATGTACTTACGGATATAGGATACTACACATGCAATCGACGTTATGGCAAGTAAGTTGTTTCCTTTTATTTGCGCTTTAGCATGGTTGTCCTAACAGCATTATGCCTGTAAAGTCGTGCCGTCCATTGTCGCGAATAAATCTTATAGTCATTTATTTATCCATTAGGTGGGGAAGATACTGCTGCATAAGTAGTTCTAATAAACTGCTCTAGCCGTACAGCCCGTGCAGCCGCAGCGCAGCCCAGCTGGAAAAACAACGCATAGTTTCTAAACTAAAACCTTACAATAGACATGACTGCAAGCATCCATGCGACTGCACGACCACTTAGCGTCAACGATTGTCATACTTTCCCTTGGTGCGACCGCATATGAAATGCAGACTCGACCACAAACGGCACCGCTAACAGCAAGTCTAGGGAGCATACGCAGCAGACTACGTGAGGCAACGCGCACAAATGTCATACCCGGCTACCTGTGCGGACGGACAGGCAGAGCACCAGCGAAAGCGGTCGATACATCAGGTTCGCTAGCCAGTTCATTGTGGTGCTATCGTTCAGCAGTCGGGCGATGGTATGTGGTGGCGTATTGAGCCATTCTGGAAGCTCGCATGGTACAGCGCACGCTCTGCAGGGGAAATAGAAACGCGTGCAAGATCGGTTTGTCTACCTTGCACGCCATAGGATAGACGGTGTGCACTTAGCCCAGGCAAGAAACCGCACTTGCCAGGCTGGTTTAGCAATGCTTGCTGTATGGTTGGCTAACCTAACTCGCCGTAGGATAGTCAGTGAGCAGTCAAGTTATAACTATGCGTAGCAGCGCAGTAGCTGCCAGTTTGTTATCGGAACCCTGCCTGGGCGATGGAGCACAAGCAATTACTGCCGTCAGCTACTTATCCTCATCGGAATGGTGTAACCTACCTGTTAAACAACGATTGCGTATTCTCCATCCGTATATGGTGCGGTGGTCAAACGCAGAAGAAACTACTCCTCAATACATCACTATCCAGGCCATGCGACCCATCAACGGATGGTAGGTGCCTAGACCGCTGCAAAAGTTTGGAAAAACCGAGATCGTGTGCAACGCCAGAATAACCGGCCCGCCTTGCACCACCAAGCATTACTTTTCAGGTTGCGTGCTTACCTATGAGCATTCACCAACTCGCCAAACACTGCGACACCACCGGATATGCCGTGCACAAAATTTACAGGATAGGGTTTCCGTAAATATAAAGATCATTATTTGCAAGTTTTGAACCCATGAAGTTCCGAGAAGCAGCAGGGTTTTTGTTGCTTGTTTTTGAATACCACGAAAACCTATACCAAAATATTTTACATTTTAGACCGTTTTCAGTTTGCATGGCGAAGTAAAGCAACGGTTTTGGGCAGTGTGTAACCCAGGTCGATATAGCGCTTCACATAAGCGACAAGGTGTAACGCTCATGGTATGGGCTGGGCTATCTGGTCAAAAAGTCGTTAGGCCATTTACCTATTCCATTAATTTTACCAGTAGGTATTTGTTTCGCATTGCTAATGCTTTAGGGTACTCAGCATCTTGGTACAAGAAATAGCTGCAATATTCTGGCACACCGCAACCGAAAACCACAGGGCGATTGGGTACCACTTATGTGCAATAAAAATCCGCATCTGCACACTATTCACAAACTGTACTGGTTTAGCTCAACGAAAGGCTCCTTGGAGTTGGATTAAAGGGGAGGACCAACTGAGCGACGTTTTACCCCGTTGGATTCCGTCCTATGGTCTTCATTGACTGGAGGCAATTAAAAACTAAGCCCAATTTATTTATGGAAGTAATAAAGAGCATGTTGTACAAATATCTGCGTATCACAGTGGAGAATTGAAACGATTGCCAGCCGCCCCTATCAGGCGAAGGTTGCACTGTAACAGAACGCCGGAAGGCACGGTAACAGACTACTTCGTGGACATTTATGAGCGCTGAATTTAGGTTTTCTAAATATATGCATCATCCAATGGTTTAACGAGTATACAGAAGCACTGGTAACTAGTGTAAATAGGGTGGCGCAGCGGATTGAAGGATAAGCGAGTTGCATAGAAGAATACAACTGTACCGTGAGATAATGCCACACTGCGGCGCTTCAAGTTGGGATCGAAGGGTTGCATAGCAAAATTAGTTCAAGGCAGCAAAGTCCACTTGTGCAACCAAAGCCATCGAATGATAGCCCACAGTTTGCTGCAGGCGCGAACTGAGGCTACAGTATTGCTGACCATGAATGTTTATAGGCAACGACTGTTATAGAAGTAAGCGCCCTTCACACCAGCACTGATCATATAAAGGTTAGTCGGTCTAAGTTATTGGAAGCAGTGTTACCAGCAGGCGTAGTTAATGCAGCCTGTAATTTGTGCCGTTTTCCCAGCCGTAGCAAACAACAGGCTGGCTGTTCATTAA